ATACTATAGTCCAAATTTCAAGTTATTTTTACTTAATTTTGAAAAAATTTTATTTAATTAATAAAACAGTTATTTTTAATGAATAAAGTAGTACGTTTTTTTTTCAAATAATAAACACGATTTTATCCAAATCTGCAAGTGATTAAAATCCAGCAGCGATACCTATTATTAAATTTAATGTTAAAAAAAAGTCAGAAATAAAATGTTACTGACAATTATTTGTCAGAGGGTCAAAAACAATCGAACTTTATCTTGAACTCTGAAATAAAAAAGATATTTCTTATGATTTATTACACACATGGAGGCATACTTATTCAAATATACATCAGTAAAAAGACGTTGGCAAGAGAGTGTATTATTCAAAAATATAGAAAAGTTATGGAAATAAAACAAGCGTAAAAGAAATTAAATGAAAAAATTTTAAATATTAGGTTCAAAGAAAAAGTAACTGTCATTTATATTTATATGTAATGACCAATACATGGAAAAACTATCTCACCAAGAACTATAGATCTAAATAAATATTAACCAGAAAACATAAATATTGCATGAATATAAAGTTTTGTCAGCAGTAAGAATATAGTAAATTACGCAAAAAATAAAAACAGGTATGCAGATTTGGAGATAAATTTATAAAGAGATACCTTGAATCCAATTAACTAATATGTTTATGGAATTTTATGGTAGTTGTGACTTTAGTTAAGTCCTTGGGTCTCTGCCTAAATTCTTCTATACGTTTATACTTGTAAACTTGTAATGGTAATTTCACAAAATGTGCCAATGATTATTTTTTAATCCTTTGTATACAAGTCCCATTTTTGATTCTTCTATCTCTCTATTTCGATACATTAATGTATATATTTGTGCTAAGATTTAATTTTTTTACAGATAAATCAGACAAATATTGTACTGATACATGGAACTTTGTGTCTGTATACTTTATTTATAAATAAATATTAATTCTGTTAAGTTTCTATGACTGTCTTCCTACTACTGTGGTTTAGTTTTCAGTATAACGCGTATCCTTTGACACATACGTTGTTTTTCTCATGCGATTGGTACAAAATACATAAGATACTTCTGCACAGGCATAACTAAAAAAAGTATCATACTGTTAAAAAAATTCCTTCTATGATTTAAAATACTTAAAATGCCGAATCAAATGTTCAAGATACCTACGTAACCGATTTATAGACGGGCTTTTCGACATTCGCGTTTTTGCCTTCGTAACCGACTTTTCATACTTCCTCCAAAGTATGAAAACAAAAGTTATGAAAATACTTATTATTTGTCGAATAAGCTGCTAAGATTCAATCAGTCTTATTATTTTCGTAATACGTTTGTTGGACAAAATAGAAGAAAAAAGTATCCCTTGTTTTCCAACCACTAACTTTATTTAAAACGTTTTACGTACTTAAACTTGACTAAAGTTAATTAGTTTTAATAAATGTGCTTATCTCTTCATTTTATAAGAAAAACTTTGTAAATGTTGTATTTAAATAAAAATTTTTTATCATAATCAATTCCATCTAAAGTAAGTGACTGATATATATATAAAATCCTTCCCAAGGCATTATAATGGATTAAATAGTAATACAATTAACTGATGATTAAATGACAAAGTTGAAAAAACAAAGGTAAAACAATTATTAACTTCGTTTTGGGTATGTAAGCAATTATAGCTCACATCAAGATTTCGCTTTAGAAGCGACAAGTTTTAGCCCCAGCGATATATTGTATAATAACGATGATATTAATGTCCATATGTTCCTGACACGCACACGCACACCTACGTTTTCCGCTCACTAAGCTTACTCTTTCGCTTACACTATACGACGATATCTCCAAAAACTGTTATCACAATTATCAAAATCATTAAAGATATAAAAACTAAATTTTGAAGACAATGTTTTTGTTGGTATTTCTCACACGCTCTTACAACTAAGTCATGTGGATAAAAAAATCACCTCATATATGTATCTTGAGAATTTATGTTTTCTTGCCGTACGTACATTTATTTTAATGCTTCAAAAATGAATCAAGAAAATTTTCTGTCGAATCAATGTTGAATTCACTGATTGGATGGAAGTTCAGGTTTTATTACTTTACTAGTAACTGGACTCAAAATTAAGTAGAGTATTCTCTCAACGTTACCAAAATCGCTCAGACTAATCTTCAATTGAAATTCTGGTAATGTCAGAAACAAAAATTATGATTGGTAACTAATACAAGTTTCATTTTTAAAAATTATTATTTAACGGTTTAAAGGTACGAAGATTTTAAATAGTTTTTAAGCTTACAAGCGAATTAGAATCGTCTAAAACTTTCGA